TAACACGATAATATTAATCCCAAAAACAAAAAGAGGAGAAAATAAAAAACCTGAGCGAACTGTAAGTCATGGCCCAAAACTTCTAAGTTCATGGTAAATGTAGTGGGGGAGTTTAACCTGCAACAGCAAATTTGAACAGTTTTATTTTAACATACATAAATACATAATATACATAATATTGGAAAAAGGATAAAGAACTGATATGAGACTTCCCAAGTAATTCATTCTTCAAATTGCATAAGCATATCTTTTTTCTAATAATAAACCCTACATTTTCAAAATTCTATAAAAAAATGTTACAAGTAAAAGAATCAGAAAGTAAAGATTGCCCATAATACCTGTCAGGCTCCATTTTGATTGCTATAATATTCCACAAGAAATTGATGATCCACTGCTGAAAACCCAACTCAATAAGCCAACTGAAGTGCCACCTTACCAAAATATTTAAGAAAAACAAAAAAAAGTTCAGCTTCAACTATAATTAAGTGAGCCCAAGCAGCAAGAAACTTTAGCTCAAATTAGAAACAAAAAAGTTAATCACTTTTAGTCAGAATTAGGAAGTGTGGTATATTAATCAAAATGCATATACATAAGCAAAAATTCATTAATGCCATACTTGAATATTCTATAAAATCTTTTTATTTTGCACCTCAAGAGTCACAAAGAGAAGATCAAACTCAAAGTCGAAGTGAAGAAAAAGAAAGATTGACGGAGAAGGTAGCTTACCTGAAAATGAAATGGGCGAGCTTTACCGTTTGCAGTGTGCACTGTTGTCTTCGAAACTCTGTAGAAAAGAAAGGCCGAAAGGAAATGCACCGAATTGATATTGCCAAGACAATGTTACGGAAGTGACGAGACGACTAGCTTACTAGAGAGGTGTACTAACTGGGCAAAAGGCCCAAGTTTGACAAATTTGGGGTGACATTTTTCAGGCCCATGATGGGGTTGGAGCGGTTTTTTGTTGTTGTTTGTTTTTTAACAAGCCATAATGAGGGGAATCGAATCTAAAATTTTGAGTGCAAATATAATTGCTTTTATACAATGGTACGGTATCCCTATCTCAGATAGTGATACTCTCATTTAAAATCTGTTACTTGTTACTTTTTAAAGAAAAGTACTTTTTTTTTTTTTTTTTTTTTACAGCTGGACTTTCACATCCAATTTTAACCTTTACAATAAAATTAATAAAAGAAAAACCACAAAGAAGAAAATTGCACCAGACTCCCACCCGACTGAAATTACCAGTTCCCGTTCGCCGCCCCCTCTCTATGAGTTTCTAATCCTCCTTCCATTTCTCTCTACTGTACCAGCAACTACTTTATATTACATTTATTGTTTATTTCCACATTGAAATTCTGCCCATTTATTCATCTCCCTCAAAATAAAAAGAATAAAAAATTGAAAAAACTAGAATATTATACACCAACCACAGCACTCAGCTTTGCCCTGCCCATCGGCCCTGCTCTCTCAGTTTCTCTCTCTCATTTTGAAGAATGAGATCTGCATATTCCAATTGATCCCACGTTAGCTTTTGGGCAAGTCATATTCAATTGAATGAGGTCTGCATATTCAATTAAAAAGTCTAAAGTTTTCTCATATGTTATCGAGAGAGGACAGAGAGATGTAGGGAAGAAGAGAGAGAGAGTGAAAGAGTAGGGTGCGGCGGCGGAGGGAGATAGATTGGGTAACTCGTTCTTTTTTTTTTTCTTTTTTTTTCCCATTTTAAAGATTTTATTTGAAAGGGTAAAAGTATAATTTCATATCCAGCTGTAATTAATTTTAAATTTAAAAAATAAAAATAGACAAGTGGCAGATTTTGAATGGGAGTATCACTAGCTGATGCGGTGATATTGTACTATTCTATAAATTCTCTAGTGGCAGAGCCAGAAAATTTTCAAATAGGGAGCACCTTGTATATTGCAATATATTTTTCATTAGGGTAACAATCAATTAACTTTTTACTTGATACAAAATCCATAATTTTAATTTATATACTCCATTATTTCACATGTTACATTAACTATCTACTCATCGTCGATAATAGCATAAAATCTAATGCAATGTGCTTTATTAAAGATCCACATTCAAACAGTAATTTATCACTACAAAAGCTAGAGTCAAAGTATGACAATGAGAGATGTGAAAGGGATAGTAATGATAGTGAGAAAGGAAAAGAAGAAAAATATAAAGAAAGGAAGGGCCACCTTAAAATTTGATTGAAAACATACGATTGTATTAGTAAGACCATTTGCTGGGAAAAAAAAAAAAAATTAGTAAGACCATTGCCTCAAAAAACATTTGAGAGGGGGCACATGTCCACCATGGGCCTTAGCTCCATTCATCATTGCTCTTAACTACTTCAGTTTCAAATCCTTTATTTTCTTAGGTAAAAGGGTTGTGATTTTTCCATTGAAGATTGGTTTTTTTTTTTTTTTTTCTTTTAAAAATAGTCTTAAATATATGATAGATTTGATAATGCACAATTGTTTGGCGCTTGAAATTTTTTCCTGTGTGCTTGATTTTTTTTATTTAGTTTATTCTGCGTGTAACTTTATACTTAACAATGGTAATTTTTTTTTGGGAATAATGGTTGTAATTTTTTGTAAGATTAAAGAAAAATAATTCTGCTAAAAAGAAAGTTAAATGAATTTTTTATGGAAAACAAATACTAAAAAAAGCTTAGGGCCCGTCTGGTAACGTTTTCGGAGAATGTTTTCTGAGAATATTTTCAGAGAATGAAAACAAGAAAACAAATTTGCATTTTCAGGAAATGAAAATGCGTCTGGTAGATTAATTAGAAAATATCTTTAGAAAACAAAAACAATGAAAACGTGTCTGGTAGTACAATTGTTTTTCAGGTGTATTTTTGCTAATTTTAGTTCTAATTTTTTTTAATTCTGATATTTTTAGAGGCTAAAATTATTGTAAACAATGAAAAAAAAATTAAGCTCAAAAACTACCTTATCTCCTTTTTTTCCTTTTTTTCTTTTTCTTCTTTTTCTCCTTTTCTCTCTTTCCTCCTTTTTTCTTCTTCTTTTCCTTCACATGGCTGCTTCTTTTTTCTCTTTTTCTTCCTCTTTCCTACTTTCTTCCCCTTTTCTTCTTCCTTTCCTTCCCCAGGCCGTTTCTTTTTTCTCCTTTTCTTCCTCTTTTCTTCTTCCTTTCCTTCCCAGGCCACACCCACTCCTCCTTCCTTCCATGGCTGTGATGGTTTGATTGGGTGATGATGGTGGTTGAGTTGGGTATGTGGTGGTTCTTCTTCTTGTCTCTGTTTTTTTTTCTTCTTCTTCCTCTGTATTTTTTTTTCTTAATTTGCAGATTTGTTTATTTTGGGTTGGAGAAGATGGGTGTTGTTCCTGTTGGTGGGTTTATTGGTTGTCAAGAGAGAGAGCTAGAGTTGTTGATGGGATGCATTCTTGTGTCTTCGGAAAACACTGAAAATGAAATCACTGAAAACAACTTTTTTTCATTTTCAACTTTTGTTCACAAAGTTAGATTTGTTTTCAGAAAACGTTTTGTGAGGGAAAACGAAAACGATGCACCGAACGTGTTTTTGTGAAAAACAGGAAACAAAAACAGAAAACAAGCTCTAAAAACATTACCGAACGGGCCCTTATTGACTCATTGAAAAGGGTATAAATTTTGCTGAGTTTTCCAAAAATTCGTTGCCGTGACAGAGGGAGTCATGGAAGCCGATAAGCCAACAACCATGCTGTGCACATTACTAGCAGTAGACCACACCGACTTCTCTTACAGAGTGTGCTCCGTGTGCGAGAGGACTCTCCCTGACAATCCAACTTCTCTTTGCAAATTCTGCAGCGTCAATGCCTTCAACCCCCGTTTTCCTCGCTCAAAACGCCTCTTCCGCCTTCTTGTAACTTCTCTTTCTTCTTCTTCTTCTTCAATCTTTCTCATTTCCCTTTACCCTATTTTTGAAAAGCTGCTTGCTTTACCAAAAAAAGTTGCTTGCTTTCCAATTGGGTTTTTCAAGACTTCCCTTTTGAGGTACTTTTTAGTAATTCTTTTTGGTTGTTTTGCAGATGTCAATAGCCTCAGATACAAAGGTGTTTACTGTGATATGCTTTGATAGGGCTGCCAAGGTTCTGTTTGGTTGTTCTGCTGATGAGTTTTTTGACTTTGCCAAGTTTCACCCGTTTGCTGGTAAACCTCCAACCCAATTGCATTAAAAATGTGATTTTTGTTTGTGTTACTGTAACTACCCAATCTTAATGTTCTCATTTCTGACTTATTTTCTGGTGCTTTCCTGATGAATGCAATATGTGATGCCTTGTTTTGGGGTGTTTTATGCAGCTGTTAATGTGAGTAGAATTCTGGAGGGAGAGATGTTTAAAATGACACTATCCAAACCAAAGAATGGGAATGCACAACATCTGCGAGCGCAAGTTATTCCATTGAGGTCTGGTTTTCAGCCAGCAATTGTGACGTTGAGGGAATTGTATGGAGTAAGAAGCTCTTGACTACTGTTGTTTTCATCTACTGCATGCTATGGACTTGCAAATGCTATTGATCTGCTTTTTTTTAATTTCTTCACTACTGAATTGCACTGGTTTCTCAAAGCACTTGGCTTTTTTAACACTTCAAGTATACTGCGCGTTAATGCCCACATTTCCGTGATGGTATTTTGGTTGCCTGCATTTATACTAGGAAAATTTAAGCCGTTAGTAACAGTTTAGCTGTTTTTGTCTAAAATGATGCTGAAACTCATGGCCTTTTTCATAGTTCTTCAAAGAATAATCCATCCAATTGTGCTGTATATGGTTGCTAATTTTTAAAAGAATATGCAAGTTTTTAAATACCAAATCAGTGGAACTTACGAAAGACAAGAAATGCCATTGAAAAATGTGAAATTGTATAGCCAGCCATTTTGGCAGAAACCTGGATTCTAGATTAGAAACTTTTAGGTCTGTCAAAGCAAGCTTGGTAACTACCGTTATGGACAAGCAGATCGTAATTATTCC